GATCTCATTTTATGAGACATTGTGTTGATTCAGGAAATGTCATGAAAAACATCTTAAATAATCTTTTTCCGCTGAAATACAGACCCATCCTCTATAGTTGACGGTACAAGATCTAGCAGTGTACATGTTGCTTGTACGTCTACTGCTACTCTTTGGCCTGACATAAATATCTCAAAAACAAACCTCTTCAAAGGTACCTTGAAGAACCACTTTACGTATCCCAAGGGGAGTCAGGGCTTTAAGTTGTACCCGATGTCTTCAGCCATCAGCCCGAGGCAAACATGAGCCCATTTGCTGCAGCTCTGCACAACCAGGTTTTTGTTATGTTCTGTTACATTCATATTAGAAATGGTGGTTTAATAAAGGCACTGCTGCTTATTCAAGAGAAACCCAAACCTATCCTGTGGTGGCTGCACCCTGCTCTCCTCCCCCCCTACTGCTGTCTCCTTCGCATTGCAGATATCATCTCCGACCATCTCAGTGAAGCTGTTTTTGCCGAAATTGAAAATGTGAGCTTGGAATGTCCTGACTGCTTACAGTTATGTCGCGGTTTTCACCCACGTCTCCCCGGCTCAGCTATCCTTTTCTGTCTCTATTCGGCATCACATAGGCAGTAATTTTTATGCAGGTCGCCTCTTCCCATGTATGATTCCATAAACATGCTGCAATAACATTTTCTTTCGGCTCTCAAACAATTTCTGGGGAAAGCTGATCCTCCCAAGAGCCAGTGATTAAAGGTGGAAGATCAAAACAGAGAAAATATTAAATTAGGTCCCCAGTAACAATGTTGACGGCCGGCACCTAATGCACAACAGATGTGGGTGCCCTTCAAGACATGCATAACTCTCCCGCTAACTCTCCCTCCTAAATTCCCATTGAAGCTTCGCAAAAATAGAAAGAAAACATCAAAGTTGACAAATACACAGTGGACCTCTGAGACTTTTTTCTTTTTCCACTCAAAAGTCAACACAATGAGAAAGGAAATGTAGCTACTTTCAAGTCAATTCAAGAAGGGTTTGATTGACTAATAAGAGGGCCAGTGTTTGCAGGGTGGGGTTTGGTAAGGGGAATCTTTTACCTCATAGGGGTTGGTTTTGGGCGCTGTGATCTCCGTTTCACCGCTCACCTCGTCGCTCTCCGCAGCATGCTACCCTTCTCGAGTTTAAATGGGGAAGGTCACTCTAAAATTGTCAAATTGGGTGTAGAAAATAGCGCTTGGCTCCCCACTCTGCCTTCAGTATTGGTATTCCAAAATTGGCTCCTTCTCACACTGTTTTCTTTGAAACACTGAAAAGTGGGCCAGCTCTTAAAATTATGTTGTGTTGTTAGAGGGGCTCTTCGCTGTAAAAACTTTACAGTGAAATGGTATGCTCTAGTATTTTCGTAACATTTAGTCTGAATTTTTTCGACGATGGTTAAGTTTCCAACTCCAGTGTGTTTTCTTTTTTTAAAAAATTTAAATTTCATTTTATGTTTGAGATGTTATAAACTAAATCAAGCTAAACCGTTGTGAAAGTGAAGTTAAAATTATCACCTTGTATCACACCGGGACGTTAAAGAGGATCAGTGAACTTGCAAAGGTCAGAGTCGCAGATCAAAGTTGAAATAATCGTTAGAGATGTGTTTAAGAGCCTGTGGGTGTTTTGCTTCAGATGAAACTGGAATGAATTTGCACATTTCTTCTTGTGCTTAACGGATCACATACAGATGGTGTACAGCCACAGCAGCAGATGTTACATGACATTTATGAGTTGTTTAGGGAATGTGGTGCACAAGTATGGCCTCCCCCCCTCCACACAGTCTTTCTAGAAGTAAAAGTAATTGGCAGTCAAAAAAAGGTAAAACATTTATCATAGGGATGTTAAAAAGCCCAAAAGCCAGATCAGTGAAAAATAAAAGAATTAATATTGTACATAATATGTACTAAAGCAATGGTAGTGCCTTATTTAGCCACATTTTGCAAGTTTGCAGTCAGTAATTTTATATTATGCTTCTGCTCATCACGTTACCAAAGTACAACACGAAAAGGTAAAACGCGGTCGCATACAGCTGCCTAAGCCAAGTCTATGCTGAGCGATTTGCAGGGATCACGCTCAGATGAACAGTGCTGCTAAATGGTCTCTTTTACCAGTTGGCCTAATCTCTGCACTGTTTTCCCATGAAAGCCAGGCAAATTGAATTTTGAGGCATCTGCTGTCAGCCCTGAGCAGGATCGTGATCTTTGTTTTACTGCACGCAACAAAAGGTTTTGGAAGGACTCATGAAAATGAAACTAATGAGCAAAAAGTGGTTAAAAGCAGTTTTACAGATGCATGACAAGCTCTAAGTCATGAGGCAGTCATTGCTTTTTGTAGACACGATTGTTAGAGATGAACAAGCAGCAGCTGTAGATACTTTAAATACTGTCTTACAGCATTATCATTAGGCAAATGTTGCGATTTCCCAATACTAATGACAGCAGACTCCATTCACCACTCTTAACACTAAAATCCGAGCCATGAAACTACAACAGATGTGTACTTATCTGTTTAAGCAAATGACAACTATAAAGAATACAAGTGGGCCTTTTGTTACAGGATAAAATGTGGAAATAAGTCATGGGGTATTCATTATTTGTTGTCATTTCACATTGATACTGAATGCACAAAATAAAACTAAAGCAGATGACACTGTTTCAGTTTTGTTTTTAAAGCAAAGGTCAAAAAACAAGTTTGTTTACTGTCTTAGAGGTAAAGACTCAAGTAGGTTTGAGTTTTCCAGTACTGTGAGAATCTGACTCCGATCAAACGTCTGGATTTTCCATGCACTTCTCAAATTATTTTGCTTTATTAAATCATTCAAGTGTTTTCTGTCTTTATAGATTATGTCTTTTTCTTGCTCGTGTTTTTGAAACGAAATTTTAACTCAAGTGGTTTTGTTTTTGGTTCTTTTTTGGAAGTGAATTATATCACTTCAGTGATGTATAATACACTGAAGGAAAGTTGCAGTGTCACTTACATGGTTAAATTACATTTCTGGTACTTTTTAGGTGTTTTCAGTGCTACTGTATGCAGGGGGAAAAACTTAGTTATTATAATGACCATGACAACTGATACCAGGTTGGCAGGAGATGCACATTAAGTCCATCTAGGTTATAGAGCTAGTGATTTTGCTGATTTATTTCCTTTTGTTGTCAGGATTTCTGCCTGTGTATCCTGCTGTCCTAAGCAGGGGTGAGCTTTCTTTTATTTACTTGTTTCACCAGGGGGATGGCAATGTGGACAGTACGTTTCTTACTCTTCTATGACCCACTGTGTGCAGCACTGTTTGCATTATACTGTATATGAATATTGAACATTAATAAAGTGTAATATAAGATTTCCTCCTGGGCTGAAACAAACACGTGGCCTTGCAAACCATAATTCCAGTTCGCTGTGATAATATTTTGGCAGTTCTGAAAAACAGACACAGGTTTGCGTCAGTCCAACCAAGGCAACTTGACCGGACTTAAGTAAACAAAAGAGAGATGGTCTTATAATTCAAAAATATGCTGAAATAATCACAAAACGTGATTAAGTATACTCTCTAAGGAATATCAATAAATACAAATACTTACACAACAATATTTTGAATCTAACGGTAGATACTGATACTGTACTATTATATTATGTGGTGTCCTTTTTTAAAAACAGTTCTGTTTATCTCACATGTTTAACGTCACCTTCTCTTCAGCTGCCAGCTTTGCCTTTTGTTTATTAATTAATTTTTTGTCCCGTGTTGTCCATTTGTGTTTTAGTGAAACGTTACAGCCCCGCCCTTCACATCTGTTTCATATGAAATTGATTATTAAGATATGATGGCTTTGAATGCATGCTTGAAATCGGTTTAGGCAGGCTGTAAACCTTCCTCAATAGTTTTGCCACTGACTCAGTCCGTCTCACTAAGCTCCAGCAGCAGGACCGTTACAAGTTGTGATTGAACAGAGATGATTGCTGAATGCTTTCCATCTGTCTTGAAGGGGAGAAATGTGACACAGTTGTAAAATACAATAGCGGTAATGTGGTCATTTCAGCTTTGTACTCTTTACCGCAGACTATACATTGGCTGATATTCCTCAGTATTTGAAAATCGCTAATATATGATTCAGACTCTCTGTAACTTTTCAAATCCATCCTTGATCTGACCTGTGTGACGGTAGATGAAGAAGCACCGAGACTGCATGCAAGCGCTGCTTTCCACATCTTTGTATCGAAGTGAATTGGCCGGTTAAACTCGTGACAGATTAATACAACTTTAGCACATATCAAAAGGGTCGAGGACCCAGTTGGTAAATATTCTTAAAAGCTTTCTTTGATTACTCCTCGTTTGTTTATAGAGCTGGCTAAAGCTTCCTAACTGTGAATAGACATGAGAAGACAAAACTCAGCCCATTAGAGAGTCAGACATAAACATGATAATAGAGTCAACATGTGGCTCAGCGTTCTCCTCTGAAGCATCCTCTCTGCATCAGGGCCACATTCCTAAACACAACATAACGTGGCGTCAGTATGGATAGCCCACAGTCAGGACACACAGGGACTTGAACCAAAGCAGGGCAGTCATCATCAAATTCTGTCAGTTACCTGGATTAAACAAAACAAAGAGCTATCCAGGCTCTTTAGAAAATCTGCTAGCTAAGCCTTTTCTCTTTTCTTCCTCATAATAATCCCCCCTGATGGTTTGTTTGGGCTCAGTCAGAGCTGGAGGGAACCAAGGGGAAGGAGAAAGTGAGGAGGTAAAGTGGGGGTCTTTGATGATGACGAGATTAGATATAGCCCGGCAGACTGTCTCCTCTTGCCTTCCCTGCAAACTCTGCCTCACACACACCTGCGGCAGCTACACGTTACACTCACACACACGCTCACGCGTACCTATGCATACACATATGTGGTAAGCCGCATGCACAAGGCCACCCCCTTCCTCATTGTTCAGGAATTACTTGCTCTTTAAGGTCTTACGTTACAAGAGCAATTGATCCCTCTGACCCCCTGCAAACCCTTGAGGTTGTGCTGGGAATCCAAGCTCCAATGTATACACACAGGAGGCAGCTCAACCCCCAGAGCAGCAGTCTTTGACACTCCCCAGCACCCCCACAACACACTCTAACAGACACACACACACACACACACACACACACACACAGACCTTCCACTGTGTTCCAGTGCTTTGGGCTTAGCACTGCCTGCTGGTGAAAAGGGTGTAGTACCACGAGTAGAGGTTTGTAGTCAGATAAACTTTGTACAAAGCTGAAACTGAGTGTTAATTGCAAGAAGGAAACAGTTTATAGTAAAGACAAGACAAATCATTCTTGGTGTGGAGGAGTTTATATTTTCTAATTTCAACTCTAGATTACATAAATATCTCTGTGCTTCATTTAGGAACTTAGACATAACATTTCACTTTATTTGTTCCTCACAAAATCATACCAAAAGACTCTAAACCACAACGAACGAGTTGAAATGTTGTAGCAACAACACAAAGCAACTTTTAATTAAAAAAACAAAACAAAAAACCAAACAGTCCAATTTTTGCTGTAAGATGTTGTTTCCAAGCTTGTTTGCAGTTTAAAGCTATAAAAAACTTATAAAGGTTGTTACAATGATAACCAGTCTTATTCACTGACATGCTAGATTTTAATTATATGAAGGATTCTTTGCATGTGTTTGATTAACTTCAAAGAGCAGTCCGTGACTCTACGTACTACTTCATGTCATTAATATAATTCATCTAAATGGTTGCAATAAGACTGTGTTGCAAAGATGGCTGTGTCCAATTAATACCCTCCAAACAGCAAGCTGGAAGGATTGCTCATGAACCTCTACAGTGTGGGAATGTTTCAGAAACACAGTCAACAGTGTGGTGCATTGCAAATGGCTTATTATGCCAGTACAGCTATACCAGCAGCTATTAACAAGACATCGTCCTGTCCTCACTTAAGCATTATATACTACAATTGTCAAGGTACTGAGTGTATTCTGTTTGTAGTAGTTGCCTGAAAAGGGATTTTTACCAACTCTTTCCTCTCCATGCATCGTCTTAACATTGTCGTGGGCCATTTTATATTGTATTTTTTGTATTTGTTTTAACAGTGGTCATATTAACTGTGTTAACTCCAGAGATGAGGTAAATTCAGAATGTGTTAAGGATTTTAAGTCAAGTGAAAGCACTGATTTGTCAGTTAAGGGAAGCACCGACTGTTACATATGCACATTAATATAACAGTGTCACAGGAGTCCTTTTGAAGTTGTGCTCCAATATTATTCTGATCAGGCATCTGAAAAAAGGTCTGTGATTATTGTGATAACTGACAAACCCCTGTGTTTTAATCATAGGTCTTTTGTTTGGTAGTCAAGATACTGTTAAATTTACCGAACAGAGTGGTTGTAATAATATTAAAAACATTTTTAGATGTCATATTTAGACATTATAATCATGTCAAATGAAGAATATATTAAAATAATATACATTTATGGTGTAACATTAATGTTTGATTACAGATATAATACTTAATGAGTTGCATCATAAAATGTCACATGACACGATGATGCTCACCCAAACTTTGTCGTCATTGTTGCCGTCTGCTCCCATGCGATATTTTCTAGACTTTAAGTGTGTACAGTCATAATTATGGTTGGTCAGTGATTGATTGAGAATGCTGCAACAGTAAAACTTGAGATTTACTGGAGCCAATTTCAAGCAGGCATGTTTTGAATAGGCTCTAAACTAGTAACTAATGCTGATCTGAATGACTTTAAACTATAAGTACGGTTCTGTTCTCCCTGAACCCTCCAAGCTCAACTGCACTGAACATCAATTAACTCCTGACCTCACAAATAATTGTATTATTAGCGGGGGTCAGCCTGCCTTGTCCTTGACTGCGTTAGCATGCCCCCCACAGCAGTGTCGTACGTCACCCTCTAAACCAGAGAAGGACTTCTAGGTTTCTAACAAATTGCTCGGCTCTGTTTATCACAACACCTTCTTTCTGCCCTGACAAACGAGTCATTTTTCAAACGTCAGCTCAAATAAAACACCGCTTTAAGTCACTGTGACGCTAGGAATGAATGTTTAGAGACATTATTAGACGACTGGTGCCAGGTTACTCTTTACAGCCAAAGCAATTTGATAATTGAGGCTGTTAGGGTGAAAAAGTGAAGGCTGAAGACAGCGTCGTTATGCTATCAAAATAATCCCCCACGCTCTGTGCTCGCTGTCACAGTCAAACTCATTGTGTCATTTTTCAGTCCTGCGCCTGTCTCAGTTCTGTCTTCTTGTGGATCCAACAGAGCCTGCTGTGTGTGCTTCCACACCCTTTTGTAGCCTGCCAGCAGAAGTCTGTGGACAGGGAAGCAATTTGGTCTTTTTTAATATTTGACTGAATTACACGAGCAAATATTGGATTGAACCAAGTTTCCTCTGGTTTCCCTTTGCACACACACACACTCCTGGACTTTCTCTCTGTGATAAATAGCAACAGATCATAAATTTAAAGCTTATTGGAAATGGCTCTGTCAGTGCTCTGTATGCTCTGTAAGCCCTTGGTTTTATTTATGAGAGCTGTTTGACGGGCAAATTGCTGGTTTGATTTTTGTATGTCCTGGAGTTGATGAATTGTCATAAGTAAATATTGAGAATTCACAGAGATAGAAGGACACTGGTTTCCTGTCACTTCCAATAAATGTAAAATTATGCATTTACTCTGGCTCTGTTGGAATGTAGCTGGGAGAAAATAGTTTCCTCATACATGTCTGAAAGAAAAAGAAAAAAAAACAATATTGACCGAAATTAACATATTTGAAGGTGCAACTGCGTATTTAAAGACGGTGATGAGGTCGAGTAATGCTACTTCTCACTTTATCTTGGCAGATCACGAACATCACCAAGCTCAAAGACTTTCTGCTACAGCACAGAAAAGATTATGTGAGCGCCGGAAGGTAAGCTTCTCCAAACAGTCACAGTAATCCACCACAATCAACAACAGCAACGGCAAAACCCTTCAAGGCTGCAGGGAAAGCTGATGAGGGCACAAACGCTTTAATTCTGACAAAATTCAGAGAAGGTCAGGAGTCAGGGTTATTTTCAGCGTGTGTGTGTGTCTGTGCGCGCGCTACAGGGGCTGCCTGCTGGCACAAGGTCAACAGCGAGTCGGGTGGTCTGTAGAGGCAGACTCCAGTCTAATTGTCTGGAATAATTGAGCTGCAACCAAGTGTAGAGCAAATCACACCCAGGGACTAATCCAGGCCTTCCTCTCTCCAAGGCCCCTTTGCGTTTTTTGTGTGTGTGTGTGCGTGCGCGTGTGTGCGTGTGTGTGTGTGTTAGTAGCCACTGTTGGGAACGAGTTGTTGATGAAACCTCAAAAGAAAACATTAACTAAACATTAGACATGTCAGTGGGTTGAGTGTGGTAGTATTTAGTGATGGGACTGTCCGCTGATATGTTTGCAGGTCTTATATACATTCAGCTTTTCCCATAGCTGTTACTATCGTCCAGATTTCCTGTTAACCTCTTAGTCCTCAGAGTAATTGTGGCCTATAGTTGATAACTGATTTATTTACACTGATGTTATAAAATTACATCATGTTATTTTATAACATGATGTAATGGTAATGAAACTAAAGTCCTTCAATGGATGGCTTGTTCAGCTTCAAATCTTGTAATTATTATCAATTATTTGTTGTCAAGTGACATCTCTATTTCCTGGACAGCCACCCACAAACTAATAATATAAAGGGAAAAGACTCAAATGTGGATTGTCATGTTTACTTTTTAAAGTTTAAAACACCTAGCTAAAGCAAAATACAAACTTTAGCTTGCTTACTGCCTTGCTTCCTTAGGTTTCTCCCCGCAAAGTGTGCATTGCATGATGGGATGCTTAACATGATGCTCACTTAGGACAAATTTGGAGTACACTGTTTAAAGCTGCGCATGGAAATGAGGGAAGGAGTATTTGGACAAGTGCTTTCTCAACTTGAAACTATTCACATTACGGCATGTCTGTCGGTGTAAAACTAAATATGTTGTTTGTAAAAGTCTTCAAGCTCACTCTCAGTGCTCTGGTGTGTGTTTTACAGTCTCATTTCATCGGACCTTTCCCGCATGACAGACAATGACCGTGACCAGATCGACCAGGATGCTCAGATCTTTATGAGAACCTGCTCTGAAGCCATCAAGCAGCTACGCAATGAAGGTGTGTCTTTTATTTCTGTGCAACAAATCAACTTAAATGGAAATTTAAACATAACATATCTGGAAATGCTGATATGGTCTTGTTCATACTGCATGCTTTCCAAGTCAGGAAGTCTTGACTGTAAATGTATTATTGTTGTCATCTCAGCTAAAAAACAGGTGATGTCAGCTCAGATAAAGGAGCACAGGGGAGCGGTGCTAGACCTCATTGAAACATACCTAAAAGGTGAGTTTGTAGCTAATTACTGAACTTCTAGTGAGTCCTCTGTTACCTGTTTTACTAGTTCATAATTGTTTCATAATGCATCTGACACAATTTGGTCATACCTTGCATCTTTGGTTTTAAGGTGTATGCAAGCTGTACTCTGAGCAGAGAGCAATTCGAGTCAAGAGAATGGTGGACAAGAAGAGGCTGTGAGTATTTGCATTCCTCACTGACCTGTTGTCACTCATCATTTTTAAACTGCTTGTGATTCACGTAATATTGTATTCTGTGGTCACAGATCAAGACTGATACCAGAGCATCACAGTCCAGTGGAGAAAAAAGTGGAAGTGGAGCCCACACAGGAGGACACCGTTAAGGAGGGAAGTTCTGGTAAGTCAACATGCAAAGCCTGACACGACAAGCCCTGCTGCATTTTATTAGAACTTACCTGACTCCAAATTATGCTTTCTTTTTCTACTTTTTTTGTGATCTTATATATTTCAGCTTTTTTTTATATATATATATATATATAATGTCATGGTGTCTTATCACAGTGTCATTGCACATGATGATGATTCTTTGTGAGCTCAGTTAAGATTGAGTTAAGTATGAGTATTATTCATATCATCATCCATAGCCAACATTGGCAGACAGGAAGCAATATGTAGCACTATTTGGATCAGTTAAATGTATTAAATGCTATAATTAGGGATGGGTATCGTTTAGGTTTTATCCGATACCAGTGCCAAACCAGTACTTTTGAAACGGTGCCGGTGCTTAAACGGTGCTCGAAC